CGATTTTTAGTACTTTTATTTTTTAGTACTTTTATTTTGTATTTTTCTACCATAACCACTAAATCATCTACTTACTTGTATGATTAAATTCAATAATCGCTTGCCTACTGATTAAAATCAAACACTTAGTTGTAATGGTGGTACTAATATCAATTTTTGGTTTTAAATAAGAGTTGTTATTTAACTTATAAATTTCGATTCTTTAGTACTTGTATTTTGTAACCACTAGAACATCTGTTTGCTGAATGATTTAATCCAATAATCGCTTGCCTAATGTTTAAATCCAACCACTTGGTCTAAATTGTGATGTGAATATCAATTTTTGGTTTGAAATAAAAGCTGTTGTTATTTAACTTATAAATTTCGATTCTTTAGTACTTTTATTTTGTATTTTTCAACCTTAACCACTAAACATCTGCTCGTTGAATGATTTAATCTAATAATCGCTTGCTTAATGCTTAAATCCAACCACTTAGTTCTAATCGGGGTATGAATATAAATTTTTAATCTTAAATATGAGCTCTTGTTATCAAGCTTATAATTCTTAATTCTTTAATACTTCTATTTTGTATTTTTCTACCATAACCACTAAACGTCAGCTTACTGAATAAGTATATCCAATATTTGCTTGCTTACTGATTAAAATCAAACATTTAGTTGTAATTGTGGTACTAATATCAATTTTTAGTTTTAAATAAGAGCTTGTGTTATGTATCTTATGAATTTTAATTCTTTAGTACTTGTATTTTGTATTTTTCTACCATAACCACTAAAACATCTGCTTGCTGAATGATTTAATCTAATAATGGCTTGCTTAGTTATCAGAACCAACAGCTTGGTCTAAATCATGGTACTAAATGGTACATCTTGGTACTAAATCTTAATTAAGTACTATTGTTATCTAGCTCATAAATTTGGATTCTTTAGAACTTCTATTTTGTATTTTTCAACCATAACCACTAAACATCTGCTGGCTGAATAAATAAATCCAATATTCGCTTCCTTACTGATTAAAATCAACCACTTAGTTGTAATTGTTTTATGAATATGAATTTTTGGTTTTAAATAAAAGGTCCTGTTATCTAGCTTATAAATCTTGATTCTTTAGTACTTCTATTTTGTATTTTTCTACAATACCCACTAAAACATTTGCTTGCTGAATGATTTATCTCAATAATTGTTTACTTAATGATCAGAACCAGCCGCTTGGTCTAAATCATTGTAATAATATCAATTTTTAATTTTAAATAAGAACTCTTGTTATCTAGTTTATAATTTTTTATTCTTTAGTACTTCTATTTTGTATATTTTACCATAACCACTAAACATCTGCTCTCTAAATGATATCCAATCATTTCCATCAATAGCTCTTCCCTTATCGTTACTAATATCAATGAAACACCTCAAAGGAAAGTTAAACAATTCTTGTTATATATCTTTTAAATTTTATAATTCAGTACTTTATCTTTGTATTTTTCTGTTATTAATTACTGAATGATTTATATCTGCTCCTTAAATGATTTTTAACCATTTAGAGTTACTCGTGTTACAAATTTTAATAAAAAATCTCAAGCGAGTGATATAAGATATGTGAAATAGTTCTTATAATATAGCTTTTGAAACTCATAACAGTTAATTAATTTTATTTTAGTTAGTACATCTTTATATCTTTGTCTCATATTTTGTACAACTAAATGATTTATGAGTTCTCTAAAAGGTCTTTGCTTATTGTTACTAATATTGATCTTAAATTAATGTTTATACAGGTCTTGTTATATTTGTTTTCAAAATTTGATTTGTAGTACTTTGAAATTGTATTATTTTTGCTATAGCCAATGAATGCTTTATATCTTCTCTCTAAATGATTTCTAATCATTTAGAGTTATTCGTCTTCTAATTGATAATAAATCTTAAACATATGATAAAGAAAGTGCTAAATAGCTCTCGTTTTATAGTTTCTAAAATTCAATACAATTCAGAAAGCTCATTGTAGTTATATTTAGTATAGTACATTATTATATTACTCGAGTACTAATATCAATGAAAAAAATTTAAACATGTGATAAATGAAATCTTGTGATATAGATAATCTGATACAGTTATATAAAGTTAGAATATATATATATATATATATATATATATAGATATATATAAATATGTATATAAAGTTTATTGTAATTATATTCATAATTTTTTTTGCTCTCTAAATGGTCTTCCAGCACTTAGTGTTCTTCATATGTTACTGAAATTAATCGACAAGTTATATATATAGCTTTTAAAATTCGATTTTTCAATACTTTTAATTTTTAATTTTCTATTATAACAAATGAGTCAATAATAATTGCTCTCGAAATGATTTCCAACTATTTAGAGTTACTCGTGTTACTAATGTCAATAAAAAATCTAAAGTCTGTTATGAAAGAACTTGTTAAATAATCCTTGCAAATGGAAATAGTACTTCTGTATATATTTCTGTCATGATGTATCACTAAATTATTAACTTCTCTTAGGGTAAGTTATAGTAATCGCAAAAAAATCGAAAATGAAAATTTTTGCATATCTTTACGTTTCAAAGGTTTCTGAACATTTTGGCATATCTCAGAAAAAATGTGTGTCTGTGTGTGATTTGAATGGTTAAAAAAACATTCGATTTCTATTGATAGGGAGATGTGCTGATTAGTTTTTGACAAAGATAGGTCCAGCCGTTACGGAGATATGGGGCAAAAAGTGCCAAAAACGGTAATTCACTTTTTAAGAGAACGGAATACTCGATTTGAATGATTCAAAAATCATTTTACTTGCAATGACGAGATGAATAATTGATTGATTTTTAGTAAGGCGGGTCTAGCGGTTTCGGAGACGCAGAGGAAAAAGTTAAATAAAAATGATATTTGGTGGTCAAAAATGAACATTGGACGCAGGCACATCAAATTATCAGATATTTGATAAAAAATTAAAAATGGGTACTATTTTTTTACAATTTTGTATATTTGATATTTGGCGGTCAAAAATGATGATTAGACGTATTCACATCGAATTATCAGATATTTGATTAAATTTCTAAAAATGAGTACTAATTTTGTTTCAAAAGATTTTTAATTTTTAAAGTTTACTTATACGGTTCAAGCAATTTTCAAAATTTTCCGAAAAAAAAATCAAAAATTTCAAAAATATACAGAGTTTTATACTTCAAATATGAATTTTTAATTTTTTAATTCCGTTTGAAAATGTATTTTTTTCAAATGCGTTATTCTAATCGTAAGAAATATATCCTCAAATGGATTTTTTCGGCACCTCTTGCTAATGCAAACTTTCTCAAGTGTTTTGAGCGATAAAATCGTCACTGTATATTTTATGTAAGGTTCACACGCAATTGAAGTAAAACCTTTTTGCTATCATACGAGATGTTTTTTTTTTAATTTAAGTTAAAAATAAATGCATCATATAACAATTTTGAATAATGTTTCTTAGTAATATGGTAACGCTCACGACGCACACATTTTTTAATGCCAAACATTACACATATTTATATAATAATAAATTATATATTTATAATAGCATTGAAAATACGTATAATATTTAAAAACAATAATGTAATTTAAGTCACACCTACTTCAAATACGACATGATCGGTTAGTCATTGTAATTATAGCATTTAAAACTTGAACTTTAGTGAAATGAAGTAGTTGCTGATTAATAAATTCTTTAATATCCGTTCACATAGTGAACTTATAACAATCTTAAAGAATTTCATTAACACTAATAATAAATAAACTACATAGATGTCCATCATGAAGTATATTTGTATATAAATGATCGACAGCTACACAGACTATTATTGTGTTTGATTTCTTGTTTAGTGTAATAAATCTTAATATCAATTCATTCTTCATTATTTTTAATTATTTATTAAAATATGCAACTTTGTGCTACTTTACGTTCAGGATCAGTAAAATGAAATTTTAAGCTTTGGCATTTGAACGAGAACAGTTGTTTCACTTTTCGAAATTAACATACATTCATTGACTGTTTTTTTGACTATTTCGCTGGCGATACAGTCTCATTGTTTGAGCAGCTGTGGTATGTGTCTGTTGCTTATAAAAATAATTTCTAAAAATATATAGTAACCACGAATAATACAAATTATTTCAATAAACTCACGTTTCTTACACGGTGCAGATTTTTCAATTGTTTAATTATTTTCACTATACAATCAAAGCAATCATACTCAAGCGACAGGACGACCAATCACAATCGACCCGTATAAAAATGATCGAGTTGTACAGATTTACTTCCTAGTCGCGCCTAAAGAAGTTTTACTTCAAAATTAATATAGTATTATATATTAATTCTATATAAATACAAATATAAAAATATGTACTAAAGTCTGTACATTTATATGATGCAAATTACTATTAGAACTATTTGGCAAAACCTTTCTTTTTTAAGCAAATTGAAGCTACATATTAATTTTAAATACTTAATTAAACCAGACAGAAGAACCAAGAAAGAAATAATTTATGAATATATCTTTATGAAGATATCAAGTACTTACATATAAATAATACGTATTGATATCAAATTTTTACTACTTATATCAAACAATACAGATTTTAGATAAATTTTCCCAGACAATACTTCGTTTTTTTATTAAATGTGTTTTTAAGTGTTTAAACTCATGATCAGATATTTATACATTATCACTTTTGATATGAATTTGCAGAAATTGCTTTTAATTCACTTTAAGAATAATCTTTTTTTACTTACCGCAAGAGGAGTTTGTTTTCATAAAAAATCCGATTCGCTAATTTTATGTTTTCTCGACGTTTCAAGCCATTCTGAATCGAATGAGACTAAATTTAGAAAAAGTATGTGTGTATGTGAACAGATTTTTTTCCTTAAATCTACGTTTTCTCAAAAACGGCTGGACCGATTTCAAAAATTTGAAAGCCATTTGATGTATCTCGTTGAGGATTATCGTTTGTCAGTGTCGTGCGACGATCTGCCGAGCCGTTTCTTTGTAATTTGGTAAAACTATTTACTTGGTATAACGATAGAGTACTTGGTCTTAATGAACATACTAAACCATTAAAGTCCTACGAAAACTGGTTCAATTATAAAAATTATTGTTTAGTGAAAACTTGCTTTTAAAAAATACTCCAAGTTAACGTGTTCGTTCGTTTTCAACGATGTGTAATAAATCCATTCAGAATACTTTCAAATACTCCTATTTTCTTTTTTTTTTTGATAAAGTTGGTTATTTACACATATCGGGAATTTCATGTAACTTGCCTCAAGGCAAAATACCAATACCAACTAGTTAATTTTTGTTTTATCCATTTCAGGTTTCTGTGATACTTATACAAAGCAATAAAATGGAGAACTACACATCAGATAGTAGTGATAGTGATCATATCGAAGAGCATACAATAGATTTATCATATTATATAATAAATAATACCTTAGTGGAAGAAAACCTAATTCATCAGTCCGAGAAGTCTTTGGGTTTGATAAAAATTATCAAATTAAATCACAACAATCTACCTGTGGTTCCAATTGCATTGACAAAGTATACAAATCTAAAAGTATTAGATCTGAGCAATAATTGTCTCACTAGCTTACCAGGTAATAATTGAAATATTATATATATATATATATATATATATATAATGTATTATTTCTATTACAGATTTACTTCAACATTGTCCCCTGGACAAGTTGATTGTAAAGAATAACCTTATAACAAATGAAGGCCTACCAAAAACATTTACAAGGAACTCTATGATAAAAGAAATTAATTTGAGTGGGAATCGTTTGTCCAGTTTTCCAGAGCAATTATTAGAATTAAAAGAACTGAAATATTTGTATTTGGGAGCAAATGAAATTCCCAGCATTTCCAAAGATATTTGGAGACTCGACAAGTAAGCGAATATGTTTCTGTTTAGTTATATGAGGAAAATAAGACTCGACTGTTTTTAATCAATCATTGACACATGATTAATTTTATCTAATATAGATTTTGTGAGATATTAAATTATTTGGAATATTGACGGTTTTTTGTAAATATTTATGGCCTAAAAATTATAGTACTTATTTATATCTTATCTGGGTTGTCAGATAATTAACCAGATTATTAACCTAGCATCAAACTCATTTTTCATAATGAATAAAATTCTAATAAAATAATAAAAACTTGAAAATCAATAAGTTCAAATGTTTGTAAAAAAAAGGTTTTTAATGTTACAAAGTACTTGCAAAAAGGCTTTTATGTTTCTATTATTTTTTTTTAAATGATGAAACCATCAAGTATTTTACTGTTTTACAACCCTAATGGGAAATTTAAATAAATAATTTTAATCAAGGGTTGCATATACCTAACTTTTAAATTATGGGGCAAATTTTCTTTATTTTAATTTTTTGATTTTTTTAAAAATCTTTATAATCAATAATTTTTTATCCCACATTCAGTTAACGAATGATTTGCATTGAAATTCAGATTTTTATGGAATTAACAAAAATCTTAAATTTAACTGAAAAAAAGGGATGACAACCTGCAAAACATTATTCTGATCATATTTTTTATTTTGTTATTCGAAATGTGTAATTAAAAATTACATTGTGTGCTAAATTTTCACTATCTACCACAAATTCTTATTTTGTTTACAATAATAAATTTAGATATAACTAATTTAGTAATTTATTTTTGCTACTCTGGAAATTTTCTAGAAATACTTTACAATTTAAAACGACGTTTAACTGCGTATATACATAAATATGATAATTTTCTCGGATGGTAATAAATATGTTACTTTTTGAACAGACATCCATCCAGATAATAAATATAAAGAAAACTAAATTATGTTTCCTAAAGTGAATTCAATAGTCAATACGTTTCGAGTCCCAATTTGACTCTTCTTCAGTGGAATTAGAACAACACAAGTATAATTATGCACTAAACGTAAACGTTACAAATAAAATTGATACTTAGAGCTAAACCATGTTAATGGAAAAATAATAATTAAATATGAATTATATTCATAAAATTAATTAAAATGAAAAATAATGAAGTACGCAATTGGTACTCGAAACGTATGGACCATTATATTAAGTTTAAGAAACAAAATTTCGGTTTCTTTATATTTATTATATGGATGGATGGATGGATGCCTATTTAAAATGTTTATAGTTTTATCAACATATTTATCACTATTTAAAAAAAATTTCATATACCTATATATATATATATATATATATATATTATATATATATATATATTTATATATATATATATAAATATATTTCAGTTTGAACATTTTGTCAATGGGAAGTAATCGCTTGACGGAAGTTCCTGAATCTGTTGGTCTGTTGAAACATTTGAGAGCATTAATTCTGAGTGATAATATTATACACAATTTACCATCGAGCATTGCAAATCTCAAACATTTGAAAACTCTTTCGTTACATAAAAACCAACTCAGGACTTTACCTACTGAAATTATTACGCTTAAATGTCTCTCTGAGGTAATTAATAAAATATATTAGTAATAATGATATTATATATATATATATATATATTATATATATATATATTTATTTATAATTTACCTTTAGTTGAGTCTCAGAGAAAATCCGTTGGTTGTTCGATTCGTGCATGATATGACATTAGCTCCAGCCTCTTTGCGAGAGCTATCTGCACGAGTTGTAAAAATCAACAAAATGGTCTGTGGTCCAAAAGACTTACCAAGAACTCTTCTAGAGTATTTGGACAGTGGTCATTGTTGTGTTAATCCTAAATGCGAAGGTAAATTCTTGCAGTATTTTACAATTTGACCAAATTTAATATTATTTTTTCGTTTCCTTAGGTGTGTTTTTTGATAACCGCGTAGAACATGTAAAATTTGTGGACTTCTGTGGCAAGTATCGTGTTCCTTTACTTCAATATTTA